ATATACCCATGGCCCGTCAACGTCCTCCATCACTACCGCTTGCTCCCGAACCCGGGGTACATCCTGCGTGGACGCACGCCGACACCGCCGTCTTCACCCCACGTCCCCACGCCCTCGCCCACGCCACACGCAGTCACGACAGAATACAACCTCCCATACGACCCCCGTCCATGTCCTACCGATACCATCGGCTCGCCCATCCGCTTGTTTGGACAGTCGGCGATGGCGCTCGGACGGTACGGGACGGTGTTGTGGTTGGACAATCATACCGAGGAGTGGATGGGTCCGAGTGTGCGCGGTCAGCGGTTGGCCGGGAGGGTCGTTAAAGAGGTTGGCGATCGGGGGAGATGTGGAAGTGAAGGTGGGACGACGGACGCAGAGCCGACGGCCACCAACGCGAGCGATGCGTCCATGTTATTTGGCGTGCGCGACGACGACGCGTGGACGCGTGTTGCGATGGAGGAAGAAGCGGGGCGGATCGCGCTCGGACATGGCGACGGCGCGATCACCCTGTTGGAGTACTAAAACACCGATCGAGGACATGATATATATACCCTGCGTAGATATGTACTGACGCGTGCATGTATTACTGTTTATCTCACATCGTACATTTCTCTCCCCCCTTTGTATTCGCTCCCCACGCCTTGAATCAAGACGCAATCAAGACCTGTGTATGCGCCGTCAGTTCTTCCCTCCAACGAGACACGACACAGACCTACCGAGGACGGCGTCAACCCCAACTCGCGCAACGTCTTTCCAAACTCGGCGCGGGTAAACACTTTCCTTTATCCATCAAAGAAGCCGCACGCGGACGCGAGCAGAGTTAGCGTCTCATCCCACGCCCAAATGCATGTATGCACACGTGGACTCACCTGGGAAAGTGTTGGGCAAACGTGACCGTGTCGACGTCGACGGTGAGCGTCTGTGCAGCGACGTACTCGGCGACGTCGTGGAGCGCTGTGGAGAGCGGGTCGTCTCGATGAGCACCGCAAGGGATATGTGGAACCAAATGAAGCCAAGGGAAAGGAAAGGGGAAATCACATACTCGACTCGCTTGGCAACGTCGTGATATACGGCTGCCCCCCACTCGCAAGTCGGATCTGGAGCCGCGTGTCCCTGGCGTCTTTGCCGCTCGAGGAGGGAGACGTAACTGCAGGTGCAACAGTGGAAGATGAAGAGGAAGGGGCATCAGCATCGACGATCGGTCGGCCCTCTCGGAGCGCCTTTTCGCGTGCGGCTTTTTCGGCGCGGGCTTTCTTGTCTGCTTCAATTTGAGCGCGGACGGCTGCTTTGGCTTTGGCATCTTCGAGCTTGTCTGTACGGTCGTTGGTGGGTGAGAGTCAAGGTTACATCACGCTGAGGACATGTACCTCGTCGTCTCTGCTCTGCTTCCTTGACGATCTCCTTGGCCTTGAGATCTTCCTTGACCTTGTTCATGTCCTACGCGACAACGATGAGGGTGAGCGCGATGAATAGTAAATCGACGGGGGCAGGGTGACGCACCTTGTTCTGCTTACGACGAATCTTTTCGTTTTCCTTTGCTTCCTTTGCTTCCTCCTCTGCCTTGACCGACCGTTTTGCAGCCATCGTGGCGCGCAGCTCAGCGAGCTTTTCGCGTTTCTCCTCTTCCGTGAGTGGTTTGATCTGTACGAAAAGCCCAAGCGCAAGTGAGAATGGCATGGATCGCACGCAGACGACGTACCTCTTCTGTGCTTTCCTCGAATTGATCGTGACCGCTCTTTTCAGCGTGGAAGTTCGCCAAGGCGGTATTTCTAAAGGTCTTGTTACATATTGAACATTTGATGCTCTGTCGAAGGAAAAAAAAAAGCCGCTATGTCAGTCAATGGCAGACAAGAGAGAGAACGCCGATGACGGTGCGAAGCAGGGTCTGAGAACCCCAGCCTGCGCCGCGCATAGCAAACCGCAAAACGTACCTTGGCCTCGACGCCCTCCCCAACGCCGATCCCCAACGCTGCCGCATCCGCATCCTCATCGTCCACATCCATCGGCGCCCCACCCTGCCCCGTCGACGAATCAGACGCGCCAGATCCACCCCCGGCAGGAACAGCCTCGCCCTCGTGTTCGAACAGGTGGTCCATCGCTGGTTGAAGTCCCCGTCCGTTGGTCGCCCTGAGTGCCCCTAGCGATCACGATCGAAAACATGATCATGGTGGGGGTGAGCATGGACATGGACAATGACAATGACGCGCAAGGATGGACTGACAATCGATGCGGGCGGGGTCGAACCCCATGCTCAACAACGTGTCTCTATCGCTAGGCATCGCGCACCTCCAAGGTCGATCCGCGTGTCTTGAAGGTGGGAGATGTGGAATTGCACAGCCACTATAATGTGACACAAAGGGCGGATACGTACACCCCTTTTTCACCAACTTGCACGATGGTGCACACGAGAGCAACCACAAAGAAAATCGAGTTAGGACAGCTACCAGAGGACAACGCCGTTGTGTTGTCCCCAGCAAAGAAACAGCGACGAGATGGCGTCGAGTCTTTCAAGAAACGGCATCGCGGAAAGCCGAGTCAACTATGTCAATTGAACCTCGACGTGTTGTTCCTCGTACGTGAATTCCTCGTCGTCTTTTCACTGTGTACTGATGCGATGGTGACAGCTTGCCGAATACGTTCACCCACTCGACCTCCTGAATCTTGCACGTACGTGCAAATCTCTTCGAGCGCTCTTGATGGACAAATCTTCTGCGCTCGCCTGGAAGACCGCTCGCTGCCAAGTCCAGTACGACCTTCCTGACTGCCCCGCAGACTTGACCGAACCTGAATACGCAAATCTCGTGTTTTACGCCCGTTGCCACGTACGCACAGACTCCTTCGATAGGTTGCAATGATCTGAGACGGGGGATAGGGCTGTGGGAAATACGTGAAAAAGATCCTTTGGGCAATTCGGCGCAGGTATTGTCCAGAGTGCAGAGACGGACGGTAGGATTCCATGGGCGCTTCACTACAGCTTTAATCTCACAGACGAAACCAGGCTCCGCCGTCTTTCCTCGTGCCCTGATATCATTCGTAACAACCTTGTCCTTCCCGCGGAAACCCTAAAAGCAGATGGCGGTATGTGCCATTGTAGTTCGAGCCATCCACTGCTGAAGCACACCACAGAAAAAGCACAGTGGGTTGACAATGAGCAGGTGAACTCGTTCATGCGCGACTATAATCGTTCCTCGGACGACAAGCAATTTTTGAGCGAGAAGCGCGAACAATATTACACCATACGCCAGGTTCATCCTTACCCCCTTCTTTCGTGCATACCCCTGATCCGCGTTTAATAGCATGCAGTGAAATGCGAATATTGGGAGCATGACGTAGCCTTGGAACGCCGATATGATCTGGATTCGCGCCGGCAAGAGCGATATGACAGGTTGGTCCCTTATTTTGACGATCATGATTACTTATCAAATCGTAATGATTGCAGCATGTTCGAGAATCTCCAACAGCACGGCTATGCGCCCGAGATTACATACTTTGGACGCCATGAAATTCAACAATCCCACAAGTCGTATTTCAATACATCCAAGCCACTCACCGACAAAGGTCAGCATTCACTGCGTGAGATGAACCTGACCGGATATTGATTACATGATAGCATGGTCCCAAATATGGCCCGAGTTACTCGAAACCATGAACAAATTCAGGTCTAGACGGTTGGAAAAGACTGTTTACCAACCACGTCGGGACTTACTGGACCTCGAATACGCCACCTATGTGGCCTCTCCGGCACAGGGAACACGGGCCTTTGACATTCTTCCCCACGTGACTGACATCGCGCGCTTCCCCCCATTTCGAGACGTTATCTACGCTCCTGAAGGTGCTGAAATGGGTGCGAAGCCGTTTGACTCCGCGTTTGCACAATTGCCTGTGTTAGTTGACGAGTGGAAAAAGCAGCTCGATGATGATTTTGCCAAGTTGGTCAAGATTCCTGCCCGTTTGTCTTTCAAACATGCTTCGGGTGGTCGGGGCGTGGCGTCAAGCAGTGCAGCACGTATGGAATCAACCCAAGCACCCACCGACAAACTACGCCTGGCTTGCGCAGTGTTCGTGGATAACACTGTCGCTTGTTATCCTGAGCTGCTTTCTTGCTTGCCTGTTTCCGACTCGATCGATTACTCGGAACCCAACTTGTCTATTCTCGATCGATTCAATGTCAAGTTCTTGGAAGAGGCTCCCTACATCGTCCATGCATGTGGGCTAGATCCACATGTGGCCACGGCGGAAGATATGGACCGTCGGAACGCTCGCCTAAAATGTTTGTCATGCAACGATTCGCGTATCATGCCTTGGAGGGATGCGGTGCGTATTTCGGTTGATTGCATATGGCGATTTATGAGGCTGACCATGGTATGCCCCACGATAGCTGCTGCATGCGCGTTGGTGTAGTCCCCCCGAGCAAACGACCCGCTCCAAGTCACCACGCTGCCAGTGGCAGATCATCAGCGACGAACACATGGACGCCATCCAGACTGCTGAACTGTCACTGTCTGAGAAGCCACGAATTCGGTCTTTGGAACGATGTCTGTTATGCCGTCCCTGTGTAGGGGAAGCAACGTATCGAGACGGATTCACGTCTCACTTTGTCGTACTGTGAGCGCTTGCCGTTTTTGCTGCGATCGAGCGCTCATCGTGACCATCATGAACACAGGCACGATATGGACAGAGATGTCATCGAAGAAGGCGTCACCGCCCCTGTGGGGATGCGCGCATCACATATGGTGGAGATGGTTGAAGAAGAGGGACGGGTGACGTTCAAGGACCCGACATCAGTCCCCGTCACAGACGTGAGGTATGAACTTTCGTTGATGGGAGGATCAGTGTACATATAGAGATGAATGTATGTTTCAAGTTGTGTTGTTTTGAATGGTAATGAGAGGACTAGTAGTAGTATATGGTACGCATATAAGGACGAATGTACGTTGCAAGTTGCTGCTAGTGTTTCCAAATTTTGCATTTATATTGATCTATAACTAATATACATTGCCCGCCTAGCTCAATTGGCTAGAGCATCTACTTGAAGTATTTACTTGTCTGCGAGTTCGACTCTCGCGGTGGGCTATTTCTTTTTCATATAAGTTATGTTTGTTACT